CCCATGACTAATATTCAAATATCAAAATACTTTACATACATACATACATATATTCTTTTTGTTACTGAATAACTTGCAAAAATCCTTGATCCTGAACTCCACCTGATAGTGATTACATACAATGCAAATCCAATTTTAATAAATACAGGTAGGTTAGAAAGGTAGTCATGGAAGGCTCCTGGTTTATTTTTATTCCTTTTTTTTAAATGCCTGAGTATTGCATCTCAATCAACTGATGAGAGATTCAGTTTGTTAAACTAGAACTAAATCATACAAAGTACAGACAAATGATGTTCTGTTCTGTTCTCAATTATATTAAACTATACTTGTTATCAAAAATTTTAGTCATTTAATATCATAGGACAAATCACGATTTTACTGATTGGCATGTTCCCATCTAGGTCTATCAGGGTATCAGATGATGTCACAAACAATTTTTTTTTAATTTTGCTAATAATTGTCATCATTGCATCAATTAAAATTGAAATATATTAATTTAAAAAGCATACACAATAGGAAATGGCTTTATTCATAATCATATACTATACTCTTATTCAGCAATTTTGAGGCACTTTGGGGGAGGGTTGGTGTGCCTGCTCCTAAAATTTCCTCATGTACGGGGGAGAGTTGCCATATCTGGATCAACAACTTGAAAACCAACTGGCCTCAATTTGAGATACCACAGGATGGTGCTATTGTCAATGGCTGTCTACCCCCACAGTTTCTTCAGGATGACTCTTCTATTAAATTAATAAAACTGAGGTTGGTACTTTAATAAAAGGTTATTGTTTCTTCTGAAGCAGATAACAGGATGGTTTAAGGGAGAAACCATTAAATTTTGATACACAAGAACAAAAATCAAATTATGTATTTTAAATGGTCCTGGTCAAGTTATTACCTTTCAGTTTTGTCCTCCATAAGGCTATCTGCCTTTTCTTAAGCAGATATGGAAGCTGATCTCTAATGGTATCAAGATCAAGTGGAAAGCACATTTACGCACATGTGCGTACCCACACACACACACTGTATTATTAAATACTGCACTTTTGCAAGCAAAAAACCAATCACCATGATATGTTTGTATGCACTCACTGCATCAATCTGAGGCAAATATGAACAATGTATAAGTTCAACAGTAGTATAGAGCAATAATAATATATAAAGGCATATAAAAACATTTAACAAGAAAATTAATCCAGCAGCCGGTGACATCAAGTAGAAACTGGTGTGGGACATGTCAGAGCAATGGGAACAACTATAATATAGTAAGAAATTTTACAAATGTAAGTGTGAAAAGAAAAGTTGAGTCTGTAACAGATTCTGTAGTTTTTATTGTGCTCTCTGTATACCTGAAGTTTCAACCAGTCAATGTGGAGAGGAGGTCCTGAAAAAAAGCATTTCCTCGGGGTCATCCTAGCCAAAGGTCAACCCAGGTGAGATGAAGAGGGCACTATGGCACTGATATATACAAACTATGCTACAACACTTCAAGTGTAGTGTGGCTCAGCCACTTCAGCCAGCACACAACTATTAATTTTTACAGGTAGGGAAACCTGTTTGGTTGTTGTTGCAAAGCTACCAGGAAAAACCACTTATGTATCACCTACTACAATTTAATCCCCATGCGGGCACCTCTGGAAGCCTTAAATGGGATCTATTAAATACTGCCCAAATCCAGTCGCAGCAGAGCAAAGCACCCACCCATCTTTGAAATGTATGAGACCTTCCCCCCCACCCCGCTCCATCTCAAAAACAAGTCTATAACTGCTCTCCAAGACAAGCTTAACTTACATATGAACCATAATCAAAACAAAATGTTTCGTCTACCAACCCAGATCACTGGGCTGGTGGGGGTGGGGGCGAGCAACATCCCTCAGCCAAGTAACCACAACTGATTCGGCATATCTTGTTTTAAAGTAAAGGCCACCAAATTGGGGACCATGGTATTTCTTCCTTTTGCATGAAATTTAAAAGCTATTTCTCTCTCTTTCATAACCAGCTGCTAAAACTATACATTCCCATTTTGTTGCCAAGTTCCAGTTGTTTCAGATGGTTGTCCTCAATCTGATGCCTGCCAAATTTCCAAGACTATAGTTCCTATAATATACAGGCATCATAGCTTGATCACCAAAGCCAACTTAAGGGGAGGAACATTTTAGAACAATGCAATTTGGTCATAAGCTAATTTTGTTCTCCAGAAGGTGATAAATACTTAAGAGTGTGAGTGTGTGTGTGTGTGTGTGTGCGTGCGGGTGAGAGACAGAAAGAGAGAGGGGGGAGGGAGGGGGGACGGACAGACAGAAAGACACACACACACCAAAAATTTCACACACAAGTTTCAAATCTAGCAAGAGTGTTTTCACATACTACAGCGAGATTAATTGAATTGCTCTTGGACATTTTGAATGTATACATTAATATTAGTAGAAGATTCAGATGTTGTTAATATGGTACACAAACGAGATTTTACCTTCAATCTAAGTAGTGTGAAGATCTGCATTCATATTGCACAGGTATGGGGGTAGGTGGACAATACTCCCAATAGAGCAATAAAAATACTTCATGGTTGCCTTACCTTTTTTCTTTGTTGACAAAAGTCGTTCTTCTAATATAAGGAAAAAAATCTGGGTTCAATCCCCTGCCTTGACTTCTAAATAAATCATACTCTTGGCCTGCACTAACCTCTTTACTTGCTTATTGCCCCTGCAAGCTGTTTTAGGATGGACAGGCTGAGGTCACTTCCAGATCATGACCTTTGCTCTTCTAAGGGCTACCACTATTCACTTAATGCTTGTAACTTCCTTCAAAGTCTCTTAGTCATAGATTTTTTTTTTAAACTTTGCTAGTATTTCACGCCTTTTTAATGGTATTAAAGGCAACCTTATTACCTTTTTTTCATTCCCTTACGTTTCTAGACGCAAGATAAAAGAGGGAGGTAAAGTGACAATTAATACTACATAAAGCAACATTTTTTTTAAAAAAAAAACTTGCCAAAGGAGACCTGGATGTGAAGCCAGCGTGACAGCTATAGGCTGATGAAGAGAAGTGCAAATAAAGACATGACAAAATCTTCCTAGTTAGTAGAAAAACTAACTAGAATTATTCATGCCCAATGAAAAACCCCATAAATGTGCCTTTAGCCTTTTTTTCCAGGTTGGAAGTTGACTTCTTTACCAGGAAGAAATCTCCCCCCCCCCAAATCTGCCCCCAAACTGTTAGGTTGGAGATTGCTTTTAAAAAAATGTCATTGAATGTCTGAAGTGGTTGAAAGATATCTGTCTAATTACCTTTTGATGATCCACACAAGGGATGGTCTCTGGACTGGTCTTTAAAGGGAAAAAGAGGTATCTTTCCTTTCCTGCAGACCCATCAACTTGCACCATAAGCAAACTGATGCATGCCCATTCTCTCCCTCACAAAGAGGGGTAGGAAAGAAAGCTTTCACTGGGGAAAAATGCAAACCACACTGACAAAACTGGAGAGAGGGGCAGGGTGACCCAAGGCCCCTCCTTGCAAGATACATGCAAAAACTTGCATGCTGAATGGGACCATCATGGACATAACCTGGGATATAATTCAGATTTATATCAAACTCTTGTTCAGCTTTCAATTTTAAATAAAATTGGAAGCTACATAGAAGCATTTACAGACATCTCAAAGCTTCTGATTTTTAAACATTGACATGCATTAAGTACTCAGGATTAATCCGCCACTCTAACCATGTTCCCCTACAGACAGATGTCTCTCTGACAGCAGAATAAGCGTCAAGAGTCGCCCCTCAGAATCCCCCTTTCTTCAAGAACGGGATCCCTGCTGCATGGATTCCTTTTCAACCCAAAGTACCCCCTTCCACCACCACCCTCAAGCCAAAAGGGGGACACTTCACTCACCCTGAGCCCTTCCCCTATTTTTTTTTTAATGGAATAGGAAAGTTAAATCCAGCTCTACCAGAAAATGGGCCTTGCTGCCAACCTTAAAAGCGCAGTCCCCCCTACAGCCCCCCTAGACTTGTGACCACCAGCCACATGCCAAATGTCCTTATTTTTAAAGAAAATATTTACCCACATTTCCCCCACTTTAAACACAAATAGAAAAATACCCTCCTCTTTCCTAACTCTTCTACCCACCCCCCCAATCAATGCAAATGTCAAAACTAATTTTCTATTGTCAGTCTTTGCAACAATCTTTGCATTTAAAAACAAGAAATATGCAAAAACAGAGAGACCTTCCTGAGCTTAGAACCAGAGATGCAAACAGTAAGAAATCAAATCCATGCAAGAAAGAAAAAAGTGGGGAATTAACCCTACCACCATCTCTTGGAGAGGAAGGGATTAGCGTCAGTAAGCAAATCCTTAATTTTTGGTGTTAAAAAGAAATTCGATTTTAAAATCATCACTTCTGAGCAAACCAATCCCCCCCCCCCCAAAATTATCGGAAATCCCAAATCAGCACCATTCTCCAGAAAGTGCAATTAATAAACAAGCCTGTCTTTGGAAAGAAAAGTGTTTCTCTTTTTCTCCTCATTTCTGTCTCTCCTTAAAGCTTTCTCTTTTTCTGTCCATTGCTGAAAATAGAAGGAGAGTATGTATGTATGTATGTATGTATGTATGTATGTATGTATGTATGTATGTATGTATGTATGTAGAGAGAGAGAGCGCCAAACGGGAGGGGAAAATATTAAATGATGAGATTAAAAGGGGGGGGGAGAAGGGACGAGGTTTCACTCCATAAGATTCCACAAGCGAAAAATCCCTATATGGGAAAGGAGGGGGGGGCGCATCTTTTTCCCACCACCCCTGCCTAATCTCGTTTAGATTTGCAACGTTGGCAGTGACAGGAACAGCTGCGAGGGGACGGGGAGCGCAGGGTGGAGACAGCTGGAAGAGGGTGGGGGGCCGAGAAGGGAAGACATATTGGGGTTCACAAGCGCACACGAAGAGCTTCCCCTGAAGAATCGCGGAGATCCGCAATTCGCTCTTCTTTCACCCGCCGTAACCTACCTTTGGCGAGGCGGCGGCTGCTGCTCTCCGTCTTCTTCTTTCTCCCCCCCGCCCCCCTTCTTTGCAAGCAGGAAGCTGGCGTCCTGCCCCCCCCCTCCCTTCGCAAGCTGGAGTTTCCCCGCGCGCTCCTTCGCTGCAGCCCCAAGGGAGGGGATCGCTGGAAGAAGGCGGCCAAGAGGGGTTTGTAAGATCCGGGCTCAGGCAGTAGCGGGGCTCGCCTGGTGCGTTTGTGTCACTAGAGCTGGGGAAATGGACTCGACAGCCGAAGGGAAGGAGGCCGGCCTGGCTCCTCCTCCTCCTCCCCCTCTCTCCCCATCCCTCCCCACCGCCACCGCGGCCGCCTTGGCTAACGCCTGCACCCTGCAGGCCGAGGACGCGCTGTGCCAGAACGGCCGCCGCGCGCACAGCGATTTTCCTCCTGCAAAGGAAAGGAGGGAGCAGGTTCGATCCCTAGCAAAAACACCTCCCCCCGGTTCTTCGCAGGCTCCCATACACTTTTTTCTCTGCGTTACAGAAGCATAGAGTTAAGTGGAAATTCTCATCCTGTTCACCAGCGAACAGCTTGTCCGAGCATTCTGCCCGTGTAAGCTTTATCGGAAACGTATGTCCCGATTTCTTCAACTAGGCTTATTTCCAAATAAGGGTACAACATTCTACTCCAATCCTACCAATAATTTGTTTCGATCATTTTTTAAAATAAATAAATGCACTGTATGTGCATATGAATAAATGTAACAGTTTGCTGTTAGCGTAGCTAAATTCTCCCCCCACCTGGAAAGACTTCTACAGCTTGTGCAACCAAGAAGAATCAAACAGATAAAAGTGTTTACGCCAGTGATTACCCAGCTGCATGCCAAGTTCTGCCTGTCAGACAGTTGAAAAAGCGCACGAGCCTAAGAGGAAATAAACGAAACACAACACTCACTACTGTACTTAGGAAAGTATGCTCTTCTTACCATAGGGCAGACGTTAACAACCTTTGTAAGAGGGGACTACTTACCCTCCAGACGTTTTAAGAGGAGCAAAACTGTAATGGGTGGAGCAAAAATGAAGTAGGCAGAGCTATACCACACACGTGGCTAGAGCTGGGATTTTCAGTATAATTTATATACTGTACCCGACTTTTTTTTAAATCTTGAAAGCATTACACATAGCTTTATAATTTTGCCATATTAACATTAGCATTTAGTAATAGTAATTTTGACTAAATTTATGCCACCTAAATTAACACTTTAAACTGGTTTTTTTTTTACTAAAGCCACAGTTGAATATGTTCACACATAATTAAGCCTGAAGCTAAAAAAGCAGCATTGAAATACATAATTAAGCCGTAATCTGTTTTATTTGAATTAGACTTGGCACCTTATGTGACCATTGTAGTATATAATTTGCTTACTGTGTTGTGTGAACCTATGTCACTTGGGTAAACTGAGAACAAACAACTGTAGAATAACGTGTTGTGTGAATGCAGCCTTTGAGCAAAAAGAGTAAAGAGTAAATAACAACAGTACTCATTATTTAAATTAATAGCACAATGATCAATTATCAGTAGAATCTTATTACTATTTTGTCAAAAGTAACTACCAGTAAACATAGAACACAGAGCCACGATGGTGAACCTATGCCACGTGTGCCCAAAATGGCATGCAAAGCCATATCACCCGGCATGTGCAGCTTTTGCCTGTTTGTCTTCTGGGTTTCTGGCGTGCATGTGCACGAAATGATCAGCTGGCCTTCGGGTGCACAACAGTGCCAAAAAACAGTGTGTGCATGGATGTGGCCAACTGATTGTCAAGTGCGCATGTATGCCAGAATCTGGAAGTTCAGCTTTTCCAGATCACGATCCCTTTGTGCACGGGGCAGTGCCAAAAACCGACCTGTGCATGCATGCCAGCCAGCTTATCGTCGGTACTTGGAGCCTCTCTGCGGGCACGTGAGCTGTCACCCAGTGAAACTGCATCACGCTTGCACACGTGCCTCCCACCAGCCAGCTGATTTTGGGGTCTGTTATGCATGCGGGAGTAGCACGCATATGCACAGGGAGTTGCACATGCATGCATGAGAGTGGGGGGAATGGTGCTTCCCTCACACTCTATTTTAGGTGGTAGGAGGTTTCAGGGTGGGCCCCCGGAGCCCGGAGGAGACCATTTTCACCCTCCCAGAGGTTCAAGGAAAGCCTTCGGAGCCTGGGGAGGGCAAAAAATGGGCCTTCCAGAAGTTCGGAAACTGGCATGTTTTTGGCCTCTGGAGGGCCTCCGGAGCTCAAGGGGAGGCTGATTTTGCCTTCCCAGAGACTTGAGGAAAGCCTCCGGAGCCTGAGAAGGGTAAAAACTCACCACCACTATCACCCCTGCATGCAGGAGGAGTCATGCACACAGGCATGTGGGGTGGGCACACTTGCAGATGGGTGGGGCATATTGCATTGTGGGTGTGGGTACATGTGAGCACTTGTAAGCATGCACACACAAAATTTCTGCATGTGAGGACAAAAAAGTTCACCAACATTGTTCTAATCCAACCCTCTGCTCAAGCAAGAAAGGATACCTCTTTTATGATTTGTGGACTCTCAGAATAAGTCGTAAAGAGAGATCATCGTCCCCCATGTCTGCCCTATACCATCCAGTCTCTTCTTGAAAGTCTCCAATAATGTAGCATCCACAACTTACTGAGCCATTCCATTAATCTATTGTTTTCTCTGTTAGTTAGTTGTTTAATCTTCCACCCCTTACTTTACAATATGTTGATCCCCTCTTCTCTTGACAGCTGCTCAGATATTGGAAGACTGCTATCATATCATCCCTACCCTTCTCTTTGTTTGACTAGACATACCCAGCTTTCTCAATCATTTTCTCAATCTTTAGCCTCCAGATTCCTTATCATTTTACCAACATACAATTTACCAACAGTATCACTAACTCAGGAACTATGCCTTGTTAATCTGTTAATCTGGGTTTAATTTTCTCCTAACACTGTTGGCTCCCAGCCATCTCTCAGTCTGCTTCAACAAGTTTTTAAATTCCCACCAATTTGCATCACACAGGTAGTTCTCAATTTACAACAGTTCATTTAGTGACTATTCAAAGTTACAAAGGCACTGGAAAAAAGTGACGACTGTATTTTACACTTACAAGCCACTGCAACATCTCCATGGTCACATGATCAAAAGTCAGACACTTGGTAACTGAATCAGTTTTATGACCATTGTAGTGTCCTGGAGTCATGTGATTCCCTTTTGCCATCTTCTGACAAGCAATGTCAATGTGAAAGCCAGATTCATTTAACAACCATGTTACTAATTTAACAACTGCAGAAATTCACTTAACAAAATGGGGCAAAATTCACTTACTAAATGTCTCACTTAGCAACAAAAAATTGAACTCAATTGTGGTTGTAAGTCGAGGACTATCTGTATTATATCCAGTTTCGTTGATATACAGCAATATTTTTTTAAATGTGGTCCTAGGGTATCTTACAATATCTTCTCCAGGGTTTGTGAAATCAAAATTATATGCCAGTCTATGTTGAAAAGTAGTGACAGTGAATGCATCAATTTTAACTTTTAAAACTGGGAATAGATCTTGAGAGGTTACCAGTTTAAGAAACACTGTTATACAATAACGTTTTAAAAAAGGCATACAAATCTACATACAGGTAGTCCCCAATTTACAAGAGTTTGTTAAGTGACCGTTCACAGTTACAACGGCACTGAAAAAAGTGACTTAGGGCCATTTTCACACTTATGATAATTGTGGCATCCCTATGTCACATGAGTTACATTTGGATGGTTGACAAGTGGTTCATATTTATGACGGTTGCAGTGTCCTGGGGTCATGTGATTCCCTTTTGCAACCTTCTGACAAGCAAAATCAATGGAGAAGCCAGATTCACTTAACAATCATGTGACTAATTTAACAACTTTAGTGATTCACATTACAAAGATGGCGAAAAAAGACATAACATGGGGGCAAAACTCATTCAACAAATTTCTCACTTAACATACATTTTGGGCTCAATTGTGGTTGTAAGTTGAGGACTACCTATAGCTTCCAAAATCGCACATGCTAGCTTGTAGAACAATTTGTGTGCCTGCAATAAAGGAGAAATGGGGAGAAAAGACTTGCAGATTTTTCAGCCTTCCTCCTTCCAAGGTGGGTAAAATGAGGACCCAGATTTTGGGGGGCAATAGGCTGACTCTGTAAAACAATGGTGGGTTCCGCATCCTGGTGCAACTGTTACGGTGCAATGGGGCTTGGCGTCCCCCACGTGCACACGCAACACGCGCATAGCACATGAACAGCATGCATCCAGCACGGACATGTGTCCTTACCTCCACAATGCCTCTGTGATGCTCCAGCTGCTCGGTGGAGCAGGCGAAGAACTCAAATACAGGTAAGGAGCTCAGGCAGGTGGATGGGCCTGCCGGAGCGCCGTACCAGAAAGGTACCCGGTGCTCCCGGCAGGCACCGGTACACCCGTACCAGGGCATATCGCCTGCAACCCACCACTGCTATAAACTGCTTAGAGAACAATGTAAGGCACTGTGGAGCAGTTTATAAGTCTAAGTGCTATTACTATCTGTAGGAAGTAGGTCAAAAGGTCAATTGAAGCCCCACCCCTTTCAATGTGTTGGCATATGTTTAAACCAAGGTGAAGGCTTTGTTTGCATGGCTCTGGCTACTATCTTAACTTTTTTTTAATCCTCCCTCTGTGGACCCTGTACTATGATTTAAATTAATAAAGTTACATAGTATAATATAGAAACTAGTACAGTACTTGACATGATCAAAGGCATACAGTAGCGATTGCATCATTACCAGGCAAAAAAAGGACACAATTATCTACAAGGAAAAATATTGTACTAAATGTCCCAGTATGTGCCTGTTGCACAAATTGTCTCAATTAATTTTTTTCCACTCTCAAATATAACATCAAAGCCCATTACTTGTTCTAAAACAAGTTTTTTAAAAAAACCTTATGGTATGATTATTCATTTTAGTTGCTCACGATAGATATGGCATTTCATTTTGCGTGCCAGAGAGCCCAAGGAGATCAGCTGGATCGGACCAAAGGTCTATCTG